GAATACATCTTAGGGTCTGAAGTCTAGAAAGATCCTAGAACCTAGAATAGATCCTAAAGTCTGAAGTTTAGAAGGATTCTAGGACCTATAATGGATCCTAAGGTCTAGATTTGTCTGGAGGAATCCTAGGGTCTAGAGTAGATCTTAGGTCTGGATTCTAGAAGGATCATAGCACCTAGAATAGATCCTAAAGTCTGGACTAGGAGGATCCTAGAGTATAGATTAGTCTGGGGATTAAATTGATCTGGGGCCAGGATTGACCCAAGTGACCTCACATAAAAATGAGGTCAACACAGTGATCAATGGGTTTTAGATCATTGGTGGTTGGGGTTCGATGAGGAGGGTTGGTTCAAAGGTGACCGGGTCATGCAGCGATGGAGAAGGGATTAATAGAGGTAGCTTTGTGTGATATGGGGTGAAAGGCGCACACATGAACGAAGAGTGGAGCTGAGGATAGGAGGGTTGAGATTCTTGTAGCTAGAACTACGTGAGTCGATGGGATTTTAAGGTTGGGAAGCTTAGGTTTCTGCGATGGAGGGGGAAGAGGGGGTGCGATGAGATTAGATGTGAACACTAGGATTCATAAAGGTTTTTTTTTTTTTTTAATTATTATTAAATTAAATAATATCAAAGTAATAGTAAAATAGGAATGAAGAGTGTGTTAAGATACTTGCGCAAATTTCTTGTTTCTTTTACATGTTGAAATGCGTGTTGCTTGCGAAGTTTATGTTATTCCTTTGGTGGTAACCTAGTTGATGTGTATTCTTTCTAGGTAATTTCGGAGTTCTAAAGATGATGATGTAGTCTGTTTGGCAAATGAACGACGTTCGAGTGACTTTTACCTATTGTTGCTTTCATTGTTTGTCGTTTTGATTGTATTTGATCAAATTTATTGCGAGGTGCTTCTTTGCTAATTTTGATGCTATGGATTCTGTTAGATCAATTCCCTCCTGGACCGATCCTGTTAGTCTTTTCCTGGACCTGCTCTTATGGTGTGATTTAGAGATGATTAATTAAGAAATGTTTTCTAATTGAAGAAGATAGATTTGGGGGCTGATTTTGACGGGATTAATCAAGAAATGTTTCCTAATTGAATATGACATATTTTGGGGCTACTTTGGGGGTTGATTTGGAGGGGATTAATTAGGAAATGTTTCCTAATTTAAGAGGACATATTTGGGGGGCTGATTTGGATGAGATTAATTAAGAAATATTTTCTAATTGAAGAGGGCAGATTTGGGGGCTGATTTGAGAGGGAAATAATTAAGGAAATATGACAGATTTTGGAGGGAATTGAGGGAGGGCTCTTTTGGGTATTTGTCGTTTGTTGTATGCTTTAAGTAGGGGTTTTTTCCTAGGGTTAGAGTTATATGTTGTTTGCTGAAATTAGATTGTTCTTAGGGTGTTTGGGCTCTAGCCGGATCTTCCTCTCCAATTGAAGATCCACTTGTATATTGTATTTATTTTATAAAACTTTCAATAAAAAGTGTTCTTGTGTGTTATATTTCTGTTTTTCTGAAATTGCTGAAATCAGATTTCAACCAAGGCTTTTCCTAAATTTATACAAGCACTTCCTATTAGACTTGTCGTTGTAGCCTGTTTTAAGAACACACGATGATTGAATGATTTTGATTGTAGTTAAGATGTTTTGAACTATATTTGTGCGACGTGTTGTTTGGCCGCCGTTCTCATTTTGTTTGCTTGAATTGGTCAAGGGATTCATATGAAGGTCAGCAACTATGATTTTCGAAGACTTCGAGAACAAATTTTTGGAATTATGAGTTTGGAGTATATGTGCCTAAAGTCAAATGATTAAAAATTGTACTTCTCCTCTTACCGAAGAGGTTTCTCCTCATTTCCCTCGCCAATCAAATGGTTAAAGTGGAGCTTCTGTCACTGTCATTTTTCACTTTTTACATATAACTAAATCGATACTTATGTGCTTTTTGATTGGCCAGATAGAGAGCAAAAGGGAGAGAAAAAAAATGGAAGTTTGGGAAGCCCAAAAGGATATTGTTATTTGCTTGGGAAATATGACTTCTTATTTTCTATTATTTGATCATGGATTAATGAGTATTTGATAATCCTTATAAGGTTATCATTACACACACTCACACACATGTAAGCATGTTGCATGCACTTTCTCGCCTGCATACATAAATATACATTAAAATTCTAAAATGTGAAATCAAGAATTTAGGCATTTTTCCTTATTAAGGTGAGGCATAAGCCTTGAATTGAAAAAAAAAAACTCTTAAAAAAAAAAAAAACAATTCATAAATCTATTATAAATCAACATATTATTTTAATTCATCATCAATAAAAGATATAATAAAAAGAGTTAAAATAAAAAGAATAAAACAAATTAACATAATGTATGTAAAATGTAAAATAAAAATGGTTAAAAGAAAAATAATAAAACAAATTAAAATAATGCAAATATAACCAATTAAACAAAATTAAAATTAGTTATAAGAAAATAAATGAAATATTTAAGTTTTATTTATTTATTTGTGAAATAAATTTTTTCTGCTCGGCTCATGAATGCACTCAGCAACTCAATCACTTGCAGACTAGTTGTTTGCAATCACTCACAGCGCTCCTCGCTCATAGGTTTCCCTGCACACAATGCTTCTTGATAGCCGAATTCCACGCCCACAACTACAAGTAGCCTGCTTGCTACCCTCTCTCTTGCTCGCTCACTCAACTCTAAATCCTAACAGATTTAAATTAGAACCCATTATAAAGTATATTAGGTATATCATAATATCATATAACAAAAGATTATTTTAAGTATTATTATATTATAATTTGAGGTGTTTGCCTCAAATGCCTTGAGGCATACACCTCAATAAAAAGGGCATAATCGCTATGACTATTAAGGTGTAGGTCTTGAGATGGTTTTTGGGTACCTTATGGTGAGGTGTGCGCCTCAAATACTTTTATAATTCATGATATATGCATGCACATTCGTCTTTACATTGTACATAAATACATAGGGATTTAGTTTTCACCTATATTTTGAATCATTGTTCTCCATCTAATTAAATTTTGATGTTTTGATCGTCAAAGGCAAGATCAAAATCATCCATTTAGATCAACCTCATTAAATGAAATGACATGCATGATTTCTAAGGATTTAAAGATCATTTGATCAATAGTTAGATGTATCAAAATTTTTGCAATGGTTGATTTTAATTGTTTGAGAAGGTTATTGCTGTTTTAAAATGTAAAGACATTCGAACGGGTGGAGATTAATTATATGAGTTCATGATGGGACTAGATATATATTGAATGATTTTGATTGGTGAAACATATGGGTAAAACTTGGCTTTTAAGAGGGATTCTATGTGTAGTCCAATCATCCTACTTTTTTCAAATGTTAGATGAATGCTTAAATTATTATGAAAATTGATGAAACTTGATTCATAAGTAATTTTGATATTGTAGATAATAATTAACAATATTTACTTTAGTTTCAAGATTATTTATACCGGTAGATGCAAAATATAATTAGGACTAGGTAAATGGTGAAATTTGCTAATACTGATTAAAATAAAATTTCTCAGTTAGGGCTTTGCCGAAATTGTTTTTTCCGTTTTGGATGAAACTAAAAGTCATGTTTGGTAACTTCTTTAAGTTCAAATGCTTAGCATATTACTTGCAAAAATGTATTTCTGTTTTACGTTATAGTTATTAGCTTGCTTTTGAAGGCAGAGTATTGCATATTTGAAAACTTATTACCTAAATATATTCCTTTGATTTATTGGCCTTTAAGCTGCCAAATCGCCATTCTAGATATGGTTTTGAACGTCATGTAGTTTAAACTATCCGTAATGATTTAAAGGTTGCTTATGTGGAACCTCCGCAGTTATGTTGTGCTTTTCTTTGAAATGCTTAGACTTGACAATTTTATCCCAGGATCCTTGTTTAGATAAATATTTTCCTTGTTTTGCATCAATCTGTTTATAATTGTGCTTTTTTTTTTTTTCTAACTTGACAAATCTTCCTTACTTGTAACATGCACCCGTTTATGTTTTGATTTATGACGCTCAAGTATTCCCTAGACGATTACAGTACGAAAAGGCCAATTTTTCTTATGCCAATGCTAGATTTCTAGGTTACATGAATGGAAAATTGTTTCAATGCTATATTATCAGAGCTTGCCTATGTTCAGAAGTGTAGATGTAGACCTAAAAAGACTTGATTAGAAAGTATTAGAAAGAGAAAATGATCAAAATTATCCATTGACTCTTTATGAAAGACAAAAGTACTTTCCAACTATATTAAATGATCATTTTGGTCCCTCACTCCTTAAAGAGAAACTAAAATCGTCCTAAAATGAGACTATTTCCACTCATTTTTAAATACTTGAGAGACCAAAATGATCATTTAATATAGTTAGGGACCATTTTGCTCCTTCATAAAAGTCAAAAGATCATTTTGGTCCTTTTCTCGTATTAGAAATGACAATTTTTTATTAGATGTAAATGAGAATATATCTACTAACAAAACAAAATGGAGAAAAATGATTCATGTAGCCAACCCTATGTAGTTAGGCTTGATTTTGTTGTTGCTATATTGTCAGAGCTTTTCACTTTCTTTTCTCATAAAAAAAAAAAAAAAAAACAGTTTACTGGGTTTCACCTCCACTATTCTCATTTGTGCTAGATGTTGTTAGTTACCAATGTAATCCCTTGATAGTTAGTGCAGCCAGTCAACTTTTAGCCACCAGGTTCAACATTTTGAGCTTACCAGTCTTTTTCAAAGTGATTTAGCCTTTTTCTTATGCGCTTCTATATATTCAAACATAACGCCCGTTTTTCTTGTTTCAGTACTTGCACGTTGTGGAATGACCTTTGTTTGAAAGATCTTTTAGAATTCATTCATTGATTCAGTATCGTATTGTGGTTCATTCAGGGGAAATTCTTGCGCTCCTTGGAGAATGCAATGGTGAATAAGTGTATATTTATTTTTGTTTCTTATGTTTCATTATATAGACCAAAGTGGGAGGGAGGTGAATACGAAGGAGATGATGGCAGACGTTTTGAGGCACTCCTTTTAGCCATGGAGTTTGGAGCAGATTACGTTGATATTGAGCTTAAGGTTACTGGAATTTCTAGCATTATTATATTAATGGATACTGGTTGGCTTTGGTTTATTTATATATGCAACACTGATAAGTTTTTTTTTTTCAAACTTGTATTGAAAAATACATTCTATCTGTTCTTGCACTGTATCGGCCTTCAATTCAGTATTTTGTCAAATATCACGTGTATGCAAAACATAATAAATATGGTATTTTTTATATTTATTTACTTATTTTCTCAACACTTGTATATGCTATTGAGAAAATGCATTTTTCATTCCTATTAATGTTTTTTAGATTCATGCCTGAAATGTTCTCAGCACTTGCATGTTTGATGAAGGCAACATAGAGCGTGCAGTATAGTTGATATTTATGAATCGTGATCGTTTAACCTTGCAAGAACTGTAAAATATAAATTAATTCAACATGTGTTAAATTCAGAGAATTGGAGAGAGAAAAAACTTAAGTTTATTGGATAAAGCTCTCCCTATTTATAGATCTATATAAGATATCTTAATAAGGAAACAAATAATTACAGAATAATATATAATTTTACTAAATTAATCCTTCCTAAATTAGCCACCCAAATATGAAAGGAGATTGGTGTGATCTAGGTTAGCTTCCCATGGATCCCCACGCTGGCCATGTGATCAAGAGAGAAGGGATGGCTGAGATGATATTTGTCAGTATGCAATGTTGCAAAAAACATAAGACGTTGAAGTGTGCTATACATACTACACAAAAATTAGCAGTACCTCTTTATTTTGGGAAGAGGATTAGAAAGTAGAGCAAACAAGCTTTAATTTAATGCTTCATACACTAAAATAATCTTCAATCATGATAGTCAATCCATATATTTTGGGTGCAGTTTGGTCAAATTGCTTGTGTTTCAATTTTGCAATATTTGCTAACCAGCTGATGTAGAACTACGAATGGATGCAATGATTTGTAAGATTTTGCACACCTTTCGATTAGAACAATAATGAAGAAAACTAATAGATGTAAACAACGGAATAAAGCGTAAAAGGGGTCACACCCGCTTAGGCTAAACCACAAAACCAGAGATTTGAAACTTCAAAACAAATTAGAAAAGTAACATCATGCCAGAATAATAGTTTCAACGAAATCCCTACTATAACAATAAGAGCTAGAAACAAAGAGGTACACTCAAATCCCTAGGTTTACTAAGCTTAGCAGAAGCAGGTGGATCGAGTGTGCCATCAAAGGTAGGAGTTGAGAATGCTTACGAAACCATGCTCGTCGTAGGCAAGTTCATAATCAGTTTCATGATCGGCCATGCATGAATGCAAGATGTGGATTTCTTCCCAAAGGTGACTAGTATTCTTGAGCATCGTTGAAGAGAAAGAAGTTTCTCTTCAACTTGAGATAGGGTTTGGGTGAAGGGGGTCGGCCAAGGGAGAAGAACAATGTGTATGAGTTTTTATTTCAGATTTTTAATGAGTAGGTGGAGGGAAAATGACTAGGAAATAAATCCTCAATCAATATCTTGCGTTTGAAATTAATTGGGGAAGAGAAAGGGGACAGAGGGGCGGTGGGATTGAGAAGGGAAGGGGCTAGATTTCTTACCACAAAGAGAAGCTCACTTTTGGAAAGAAATCAAATAGGAGAAGGTTTGGAAATTTCAGCCAAAGGAGGTGAGAGGGGATTTAAAATTGTTTCCAAGTGAGATTAAGGGGTTTTAGGAAAAAAATCCTAAATTTCCCATACAGGGGGCTGGCGACATCATGGCTAGGGAGGGCATTTAATAGGGAGAATTATGGCTCTTTAATTTGGGTTTTAGATTAGGAAAGTATCTAATCAAATCCAATTTTAATTTGAAATTCAAAGAGGGATAAATTAGGAACTTTCCTAAAATAGCTTAAATTAAATTAGGAAAGAATTTGATTTTCAAATTCAAGTTAATTTGAATTTCAAATTGATTCCTGATTAACTCCAACCGAAGTTAGGAAACCCAATGGCAGAGAGAGAAGAGATGGGGCGGCGGCTAAGGGGCTAGGGTCGACGGTTTTGGGTGGAATCCGTGGGTGGGGTGTGGGGGAAAAGGGGGTCGGGCGAGCAAGGGAGGATGGGTTTTGGGTGGAGCTACAACAACAACAACAACATCAAGCCTTTAAAGAAGAAGAAATTATTGGGAGGTGATGGAGAGGTGTAGGTGACCGGCGGCGAGGTTTGAGAGAACTTGGCCCACAGCTAGGATAAAAAAGGGAGAGGAAAAGAAATAGTGACAAAGAACCACGAACCACTAACCTGGTCGTCTCCAAGGTTGGTGGGTAATCCGATTTCCCTCCCCTAGGGACTCACCACTCAAACACTTCTCAAGATCCCACAAGAACTTAAGCAAGAGAGAAAATTATCATTCATTCATTCATTAACTTCAAAAGAAAATTAGGAGGGCTATATAAAGCCTCATACAAAGGACTCAAAACAATGCCCCTTGGGCTTACATACGACATCCCTTCATAAGAGGGTACAACGAGAAACTAAAGAAAGCAAATAAAATGCGACAACATAATTAAGGAAATACATAGAATAAATAAAAATATACAATGACTCAATTGTGGTCGTAGATCGGTGGCCACGCGTCTGATAAACCTTCCATGATCTGATGTCCCCATCACTAGCCTTAGTTTGCTGTAAGTACTGTGTTTTGCGGGGTGGGAGGGGGGGTATATGGTGGTTAGAAAGCACAATTAATATCCTCTAAATACTTCTTCATTCTTTCTTTCATGGAAGAAACTCGCTTGTGTTTGGTATTTGACGAAGCATATATTATGTAACACCCCATTTTAACCTTCCCTTACAGTTAAACTAAAGTGTAACAGAGAAGGAGAATTTGAACAAACATTCTTCTTACTTACCCCCAATATGAAATGCTGATATCAGAATTATATAAGTAAAAAAAATAGTCTATTCAAACTTTCTTAACACAACTAATCATAACGCATCAAGATTTTCATAATAGGAAGCATATATAATATACCTCAAACACATCTTAATTGAAACAGAGTTTTACTGAGACCTTTAAAATTTACTTGCATGACCAAAAGTCTTTGTACAACTTTCACTTTAACCTCTATGCACACCTAAAAAGTGTATACACCAAAAAGAACAGTCACCCCTTTTCCGCCTATTGCTCTACTAGCTCATCCTTTCATGCAGTGCAACCACTACTAATGTGCTAGGGCTCAATGAAATACACAAACAATGCATAAGAAATAATAACTTTTTATCAATAAATTTAAACACATGAAAATTCCAGTCTACTTATAAGAAATGCATAATATCAATTTTCCGCTTGCTGACTGTTCAATACATTTAGATAAGTCATATGATGATTATAAGATTTTGTACAATTCCAACTTTCAAATTCAAGGTTGGGTCTGAATTCCCAACATTTAGAATTAGAGTTGTTCTCTCATTCAAGATTGGGTCTGAATTCTTTCATTTTTAATTGTGCGTGCCTATTCCCCATATATGACTTATTTTGCTTTTTTATTATCATTAATTTCTAATATACTCACTAGTACTTGGTGAATCAACAATCTATATAATTAGAATCAACTACAAACGAATCAATTGAAATAAATGGAAATACTTGTTATCATATGAGAGACATGCTATCATAAATATGGCAAATATCAATTTACAGATATATGAAATTTGAACTAATTCTTATGAATCTGTTGGGTATCTCACTTTGCTAGGAATTGCTTCTCCTAGAGCTGGCTTTCTTTTCCTTTTGTATGCCTCAACCAAACCTCTCTTCATTCAAACTACTCCCTCCCTTAGCTCTCTCTTCCTTCTTTCCTTAACTGAATTCAATCACCAATTGAATTTGTCTTCTTATTGTGTTCAGCGGTTGTTTTCAGCAACTGTGGTAACATTTTAGCAAAATCCAGCAACCATCATTACTTAATATCAACAAATAACAATGCCCTTACCTGTTGTTAGCTTTTCCTCTTCCCTTTCCTAACTGATTTCAGCAATTCTAGCTGATTTCAGCAATTTACAGCAGCCTTGATCACTCCTCTTACTTATTTCAGCGCACAAATATAGATTTCAGCGCACAAATATAGATTTCAGCAATAGCAAACACTGATTTCAGCCCTTACCTTAATGTTTTCTTTTATGGTTTCTGAATTACAGCAATTTAAAATAAATTACCATACTAATTTCAGTAAATTACAGCCCTTACCTAACCTTCTCAGCAAGCAACCGACAGCCTACTCATCTCCAGCTCACGGCCTGCTCGCAGGAACCTATTGTTCGAACTTCAGAGAGCCACGAGAGGGATTGGTATGAAGGAAAGGGCTAGTGAAATGCTATTGCTCCAAGTACTTAATATTATAACATTAATACTCCAACACAACACTCCACTGACCTTCCACAATAGCTCCCAGCTGCTGATCTCAATCAGAATATTATAACATTAATACTCCACAACAGCTCTCCACTGACCCTCCCCAATAGCTCCCAGATGCTGATCTCAATCAGACCAATGCATGCCTAGATAAGCGGAGGAGCTATACGAATTGTAATAAAATAAGTGAATAAAGTGACTCATTAGTTTTAAATTAATAATTAACATATACAATTACTGCTATTCAAGTATTACATTATTATTCATTTAATAGTTATACCTATACAATTAGATTAATATTTAATGCTTCTATATATCAAAATGCCTGGAATTGAAATTAGATTTTTAATGAAAAACATTTATAGGAAGTTTATACTTACATTTATTTTGAATATTTCGGGTATTATATCTCCCATCAGACTATTGACACTTACCGAAATACTTGGCTCAAAACATGACAAAATTTGCTCTGATATTAATTTGATGTAGCACAAATAACAATGTAGAATTAAGAATAACTAATAAAAAAATTTCACTGCTATGATAGAAAAATTATATGAAAAATGCGTCGTAGAGATTCTCTCACCAAAACTATGGAGGCTCTCTTACCCATAACGACAAGCGAATTACTTATCTAATAGGGATTTTCTAACCTATTTTATCAGAGAATCACTTACAAATGAGAGGAATATTCCATTATTTCATCCGTAAGATTTCTCTAAAATATTTCAATGTTTAAATCATTTATAGTATCAAATACGAACTTTTTGGCCGATTAAATGAAGTGGTTGATGGGATAAAGGGTATGTGGTGGTTAGAAAGCACAATTAATATCCACCAAATACTTCATCATTCTCCCTTTCATGGAAGAAACTTGATCTTGTGTTTTGTATTTGATGAAGCATATCCTCCCATTATTGTCGATTGTCATTTATTAGAATACTTGGGTCCAAA